TTTTTTTAGAGACAGGAACAGGTAGGAGTAATGCTGAAAATACAAAATTGTTCATGTTGACAGCAGCAATGATGAGTAGGGACCCATTCCATCCATATTCAGTGATAAGGAAGTGGCTGACATAGGGAAAGACAACTCCTCCCAGGCCCGACCCACTGGTCACAATCCCTGTAGCCAGGCTACGGTGCTTGTCAAAGTACAGTCCTGATAGTGTATGTGATGGCACATACACCAAACAGAAACCAACCCCTGCAAACAGGAACTGACACTGATCAATTATTCAAAATACAAAGCACAAGAAAAACTATCTGCAGGTATTTCTTATACTGTTGCATCGTTGATAATTTTTCTTCAATTTTGAACACAATAGATTTCTGAATATTGTTTATTGAAATATAAAAGGAAAAATACTTTATTTTCAAGGTAGGTCTCATAAAAAAAACATGCTCATCCATGAACTTTTTTGGTTCAATGAAAAAGAAATTGCATTTATAATTTAAGAATTTTGGGATAATCTATCTATTTGCATTTAAGAATTTTGGGATATCTCTCTATTTGCATTTAAAAATGTTGGGATATCTATCTTTTTTTAAGACAATGTTTCCTTTGTACTTTAATGGGACACATATGTTATTTATCATAGGAATAAAATGTTTGGCAGTGTACACCAAAGTGTGAATATTTGGCATGAGTATATGATATCAAGACAAAATTTCCAGACACAAGATAATTTCCTTATTACAATGTAAAGAAATTAAGTTATTACTGGCAATTGTGCCCAATAAAGACCTTTTACATTCAGAATGTGAGTTTCTGTATCAGTAAGCATAATACAATGTTTTGGAAATCTGTACCGAAGAATATTGACATCCAGATTGTAAGTTTTCTGGATCATATATCTCATAATAAATTTGAGACAGACAATACCCAAGGACAAAGCTAATCATACATAGAACTATTTGTTGACAGTAGACTTTGTTCTGTTTACCTGTTACCACTCCATAGAATACATCTAGATAGATAATGTTAGGTGCAAATGGACAGAAGAGGAGACCAATGCTGCTGAGGAGGGATCCCAAGAAAGACACCTTCCTGTAACTCATCTTCCTCATCAGAAAACTGGCTAACGGCCCTATACATACAAGCCAAGCAAATTATTTAGTACTTTCATATATTAAATACATGCATCACAAAGAATTTTAAGAATCAGCTAATAAAATGTTTTCTTCAACTCTATTTATTCAGTATTTATGCAGTGGTTTTAGGTATTTTTCATTTACCTAAAACCCTTTCTCTTAGATGTTTTCAAATACATGTACCAGCAAATTAATCTGAGTAAACATATATATTACCTCCTCCAAGCAGCAGTCCAATGTTGAAAGCCCCAATCATGGATGTGGCAGCGACAGAAGACTGGAAGTGTTCAAGGAAGGCTATGTTGTACACGCCAATAGAAGCGGCAATCCCAAAGGTCACAAATTGGATCATAAATGCAGCCACACCAACCACATAACCCCACGACCCTCCAGGGTTACTGGCGGCAACAGGTGCCATTGTATGATGCTGCTGGGTTGTACTAAGTCATGTCCTGTTAATGTAAAATAAAACTATGAAAACCACAAAAAGCTGTGTTTCCAAAAAAAAACATTAAGCCACATTGCCTTTGTCAAACAATTGTTGATTATGAAACAAAGGTAGGTGAACACTGTTACATTCAATGAAGATGGAATTTGATGTTTTCCATTGAAAAAGGAAGGGTGCCAATGTGGGCCTTCTGGCTGATTCACTGATAAGTTTTATTTTTGCGTATACACACACCTTCGCACAAGAGAGAAGGAAAGGTTCAACACAAAAGGAAAGACAGCCATTATGCTTGATTGAAGAGGAATCTTCCGGACATCTTTTCCAGACCTGCAAGCAGATCCAAAAAGTGTGTTAAAATGTTGCCGTGACTTTTTAAAATTATGAGAGGTTTGAGTATAAATTATTAAGGCAATTCTTCATCAACAAATACTAAACCTATCTGAAGTAATTTCAGAACTACCTCTGGAATCTGTACAATGGACCATGAAATCCTGCCACATGAGAGGAGTACTAAAGATCATTTTAGAGGCCAGGGAATACAATTAACCTGCTGGTCAGGTTACAAAAGGTTCTGGATGAAACACACATAGATGTAGTAGGGCAAGAAAAGTGATAAAGATAGTGCCTTTGCTGGGGCTTGAACCCGCGACCCTTGGCTCTCCAGCCCAATGCTCTACC